ACAGAGAATGACTGCTCAGTTGAAACCTTAGGTTCAAATTTCCTCTGAGTGTTGATGATTTTTAACAGCACTAAAAAGCAACTCGACTACCTGGGAAAGTCATTTAATTAATAATTGAGATTTGAGTCTTAAGTATAGTGTAGGCCAAGTGGTCTACTTTGCCTGGAATAAGTCATGTTTGCTAATTTTGAGCAAAAGATCTTTACTGTAGGGCTTGGATAATAAACCTCAAATCTTCATGACCTTTGTAGAGTCAAATATTCTGATTATATGACACAAAGAATCAAGGTACCTTTCCAATAATTCAAGCCCAGAAAAAAAAAAATCAACGTGAACTTTGCAGAGTGTTAAATTTCTTTTGAATCTCTAAAAATCCACAAGAAGACTCTTCTCTCACTGAGCACTTCTAAAGGGTAATGCTAGTAGAATCGCCCCCAGAATACCAAACTAAGAAGGACTTGGAAGAAAGGCCCAGCCATCAACTTCCCCATTTCCCCCCAGAAACCAATATGGGAATTCATTGTGTCCTTACTTCCAACAAAAATAACTACTTCCCCCCTCTTTTCTATTCCTGCCCAGCATTCTCCATCGGAAGAGTAAGGCAGGTTTGCAAAGGAGGCAGGCACTGTCTGTGTCACCCATTGAACTGCTCACTGCGAGATCAGTAGTTTATCTCCACTCGTTGCTAGGTGTGAGAAAAATCAAACGGTCTACTTCCATAAAGATTTACAGCCTCAGAAGCCCAAAGGGGGGTTTCTACTCTGCTTTATTGGGTACCTATGAGTTGGAACAGATTTGATGACAGTAGGTAACACACTGGCAGTTCTACCCTGTCCCCTGGCCTATAAGGGTTGTTGTGAGTCAGCATTGACTTGATGGCAAGAGAGAGAGAGGTAGAGAGAGAGAGAGAGAGAGATCGCAGGGTAAGCCCAAAACCTGTACGCAAGTGGAAAGTAGGCGATGCTAACAATTTACAGACCAGCATTCTATGCAGGTTGAGCAATTCATCTAATGGTGGACTATGTTTTCCTGAGATTCCAAACCCAGGAGATTGTGGGTACCAGCTAGATAAAAAAAAGTATGCTGGAAAAAATGGGTGGCAGAGCCAGAGCCAGGTAAGGTAGAAATGTCATGCTGGAAGCTATGACACTAGAATTTCAAATACCAGCACTCACCACAGAGGGCGGGTTCCAGCTGACTCTTCAGACACCAGTGGATTAGGAAGAAAGGCCTGGCAGTCGACAGGCCTTAGCCAAGGATAACACTATGTATTACAGGAGGAGTAGCCCCCTGGTTAGAAGGCACTCAAAATTTACAGTTGCTACAACGACAGACTGGAGTACAGCAATCTTGATATTGATAGTACAGAACTGGGAAACATTTTGGGGGTGCCAGGCGCTGGGGGCCAACTCAATGACACTGGAACAACCATGCTGAAAATCTTCAAAGGCAAAGACCAAACAACCGGCTTCCAATTATGTTGTCCTTGCTATATGCAAGGCAGGCTACCCCCTGGGCAAATGCAAGGCTGTTCTCCCAAACAGGGGGTAGCATATTCAAGCAGTGAAATGTGTACTCTCCTGATAGGGACAAAGACCTTGCAGGCCCCAACTGGGAGCTAGCTGCTTTGGAATGCCTGGCATGCCTGGACAAAACACAGCCCAAATCATGGTGCTGTTTACACTTGTATTTACCCAGACTCCCACCCCAGCCATTGAAATGCATCTCTAGGCTCACCAGGTAGCTCAAATACACATGGCCTTCAAAAGAGAACATTAAATGATTCCATAGATGATGAGCTTCAAGCTGCTCCATTCCTGGGTTCTTGTCCTGGTCCTAAGAAAGATTTCAAGTGAGGGACAAACTTTAGATGAGTCATGCAAAAGGTTTGAACAGAAAGAGTGAGCTTATTGAAGGTAGATGCTTTGGAAAACAAGTCCAAAGGGCCCTTTCAAAAAAGAGCCATTTGTTGACTGCCATCATGTCAACACTGACTCATAGTGACCCCCTGTGGGTTTTCAAGTCAGTAACTGGTTACTAGAATAGAAAGCCTAATCGTTCTCCCTGGGAGGTCCTGGTGGTTTGAAACTGCCAAACAATCAAATCAAAACCCAATGCATAACCACTATGCCACCAGGGCTCCATTGCTAGTCTAAAAGGGAAAATGTAATGCTGGACCGTATATCGGCTAATGGTGGGTTTTCCCCTAAAGGCTGGCTTTCTGGCAGGTCTGCTATTGGCTGTTCCTCTATAGTGTCCCTCCTCTTTCACGGATGCAGATTCTGGCACCTTATCACCCAGTACCCCAGACTTCATGCTGTGCTCTTGTCTCAGACCCCAAACTCAACAGTCTAGTCAATAATTACGGAGGTTGTGTGCATATCCTGTCTTCCTTCCCCTGGTCATTTCATGATCTCCAATATCCTGGTCTCTTCCACTGATAAGGAAATGGTTTCTGTTCTGCCCTTGACCTTCCTTTGTGCTGGAGGTGTGTGAGGAAGCCTGTCTCCCACTCTTCTGTGTTTAAGATTCCTGTCAGTTTCCTTTCCCTTACCACATCTTCTCCCCTTGCCGGTTTCTGACTAGCTAACACATGGATCAACCCCCTGGCTGATCTGAGCATAATCAGAGTTTTTCTTGGAGTAGTAACTATGAAAATTGTTTGTAAATATTCATACAGTCACAAGTAGTTATATAATCGTTTGTCAATTTGAGAGGATTAAGAGTGAAGGGGTGCAGCCTAGCCCATCAATCAGGTCATAGCCAATGAGGCCTCTGTGTGAATATGGACTTCTCCTGAGGACTCTGGGAACTCCTGTATTCCTCCTTAGAGACGGGAGACACTCTTCTCACTCCCTGGGAGAAGATACATGGAACTGACAAGATACATGGAACTACACTAGTGCCCTGATCTGGAGAAGCTACATGGAGACCCCTGCCAGCACTGAGATGCTTCCACTGCCACTAGATCCATGAGTTCGTTAATTGTGCCAACCTGGCCGATAATCACATGTGGGGCTAATTAAAAGGCGGAGGGATAAATGGGTGGTGAGCCTCACCTTTCTAGTTGTCCGGTTTCTTGCTTCGTTATGGTCGCACCAGGGTGCAGCTGCCTTAGCAGTTCCCTGCTTCGGCTTGCAAGATTTACTTCCTACAAGACATCCCCAAGGAGAAGCCACATGGAGCTATCCCGATACAGCCCTGGGTGCTGGAGCAGCCATGTGGAGACCCCTGCTAGTGCTGAAATGCTTATTCGTTCACTGACTCACTTTCCTCCTGCAGTCGGCATCATTGCCTCTGTTTTGTGAGGTGGAGGACTTTGTGGACTGGTGTGGGGTTAACAGGTTAATGTTGGACTTGTGAAGCATTGGGTTGGGATCTTTTCGTGATGCACACTTTCTTTACATAAAACTCTCTTATACATGAGTTGCTGTGGATTTATTTCTCTACAGTACCTAGACTAATACAATCCACAAGACTTCCCACCCACTGGCCTGTGACCTTCCTGCATTCCGCATCATTGCATTTGTTTCATGAGTCTGAAGAGGACTTTATAGATTGGCATTGGACATGTGGGCTAATATCTGACTGATGGACTTGATCTGGATTGGGTTAGGCTGTTTTCTTAATGTACAATTACTCTGTATATAAAGCTCTTTCTTATACACATATGAGCCTCCCTGGATTTGTTTCTCTAGTCTACCTGAACTAACACACAAGTTTTAGGCCAAATACTCTAAAACAAACAAACAAAGAAAGCCCATGCCAGCTCATGTGAGTTTCCAAGGCTAACTTTTTATGCAGAGTAGGAAGCCCAGTCTTTCTTCCACAGAGGCTCGTAGTTTCAAACTGCTGACCCTGCCAGGGCTCCTAAGCCAAGTACTACACTAGCAAATTTGTTTGTAGAAGTCATATTTAGGTTAATCAAATGGTGGCATAATGGGTTTAGGTGCTGAACTGCTCACAAGATTAGCAGTTCAAACCCACCAGACACTGCATGGAAGAAAAATGATGCTGTCTGCTTCAACAAAGTTTTTTTTAATGGCGTGCAGCCTTGGGAATCCTATATGGGACCACAGAATTAACTCTACAGCAGTAAGTTTGAGTTTTGGGTTTAAATGTTATCACAGAGACCTTAAAGCATTTTTGGAGAAAATCATTGTAATGCTCAAAATAACCACTGAGGTCACAGGTTAGCTCTTTAGAAAGGGACTGACCGGCAATACTGAGGCTTTACAGGCCAGATGGTTTTCATGCAACTACTCTATTGTATCATCATAGCAGAAACCTGTCGAAAGACATGAGCAGAGCTGTCCCCCAACACTTTATTTATGGATACCGACTCTTTAATCCCAAATTACGTTCATGCATTATGAAATCTCCTTTGCATTTTTCCCCACCACTGTTGGCTCAAGGACCTTCACCATGCATCAGGCTGGATCTGACAGGCAGCCCAGTGTTCCAGACCTGCAGGCAGGTAGTGGATGGATAAACATTGCATCTGTTGCAGCTTTTGGAGTGAAGGGTCAGTGCGGTCAGGAAAAGGCAGTGCAAGTGTCTGTCTTGTTGCCCCAAGTGGGTTCCAAGGACCCACCCTACCTGTGGCCCACCTGAGCTCAAGACCTGCATCCACCGAAGCCCCTAGCTACTTGCCAGCATCTTGAAGCTTGAGAATCAGTAGTAGTGTGAGCTGAAGAAGGAACTCTGGAATGAGAAGGCCCAGGACACGCTTGCGTGCCTCTTACTAATCCTGTGGCCTGGGACAAATGCCTTTAACCTCCAATGCCTCTCTGCATACTGCACGGAGTTAACAGTGCATGAATCTACCGTAATAGCGAAACTATCTGGTTAGTACATTCTTTCAATGCTTCCAAGCAGGCATTTAAACAAATACAAACGCACATACACCTTCTAGGGCAGACAGACACACATAGTCACTTCCTCATGTGTTGAGTGCCCTCCCGCCTCAATCCCGTCTATAATAAAGAAAGACACACAACTTCGGGCCGCAGAGTGTAAAATATATTGATGGTTGCAAAGGGACAATTTAGAGACAAATTGTAGGTCTGCTGAGATGGCGTGCAGCATACATACATGCTTGTATTTTGGAAACGAGGTCATTAAATTCTCGAATACACCTGCCTGAACACGCTGTTGAGGTGGCTTTGTGTTTTTCCATTAGCGCAAATGACTACTCTACGGGTTCTCCTAGTCAATACACGTCATGGCTACGGGGGCCGAGCAGCGACAGACGCAGTTCCACGGCTAACGATGTGAGCGACTTCACTATCAGCGCAATCAGTGAGCTGCAAGGTGTTTTTCGTTTGTTTTGTTTACGGCTGGGGTGGGGCGGGGGGATTTCCATTTTATTCTTTTCACAGGTTTAGTCAACAACAGGCTCCAAAAAGCAATGAAACAAAGTCAGTCTTAAGAAGAACAAACAAACTGAGCTGGTAATTCTGCTGTGAGTTCTAGTTTCCAAGACCCTACATGTCATATAATTGAAATCTACAAGAGAGAACGACAACAAAAACGGTGTTAAGGGACACTAACAACAAACGACTGACAAACACATCCGGGAGTACAGTGGTCTGTCGTGAATAACTCAGAGGGCAAAGAGAACAAAAACTCCTTCTGGAACAGGAAGTGGTCCAAAGACAAACTCTGCTGTTTATTCTGTTTTGTCTTTTTCCCCCCTCGTGGCTATCCTCCTTCCACAGTGTTGAGCTTCATTATTATATTAAATAACTTACACGGGTGAAAATGAGTTTGCCAGCCAGCAGCCAACTCAACGCCCCGAGGACGAGGTGGGAGAGGAACCCCCAATACAGCGCACGCGACGGGGGAGCAATGCCAGCCTTCCCTTCCCGCAACTCCGAGGGAGCTGAGTTTGAGGCTCCCAGTGAGCCAGTTGGTTCCCTCCCCCTCCTCTCCTTTTTCCGTTAAGTTAACAATGCAATGTGGGCTTCCTCAGGGCCAGCGCTCAGCCGGACAAGTCCCATTAGCAGCAAATGTTGAATCAAATTAAAACACGCGCACACGCACACACACACACACACACACACACACACACACACACACACACACACACGCACACACACTCCATCCAGGTGCAGAGCTGTGATTCACATGGAAATTCCGGGAGATGAATCATGTGCTGAGCTGGATGCGGTAGAGGATGCTCCCCTGAGCGTCTTCAGTGAACATTTCAGTCTCACAAAATCGGAGTCAATCTGTCAGCTGAGGGGCAGAAGTCCCCCATCTGCTCTGGAGGGAGCCTGCTTTCTTTGCTGTCAGCGCACACCCACGATGGCGGGGCGCTCTGGAGTTTCTTGGTCCTCCAGGCCAGAGAAAAGGCCAGCCCCTTAAGGATCTGCGTGATGCAGCAGCAGCAGCAGCAGGCGGCATCCCATATGTTAAACTCTGCCCAAGAGGCTGGACCTGTGGAATAAAGAAGATCATGTCAGGGAGAATGTAGAATATTCGAACCAGGATTAAAGTGCCTGGCCTGATGTGAGGCGCCCTGGTGGCGGAGTGGTGATGCATTCGGCTGCGGACCAAAATCAGTAGCTCCTCGGGAGAAAGATGGGGCTTTCTTAGCCCATAAGGAGCTACCGTTTCGGAAACTCCAGGGGTAGTTCTCCCCTGTCCTATGGGGAGAATGAGCTGGAATCGACTGGCTAGCAGTGAGAACGCTGGTTTCACCTTTCTTGTGTTTCTGAGCTTGCTTTTAGATAGATTTTGAAATAGGAAAACAGCCTTTGGGTTTTTGTTGTTTTGTTTGAGAAAACTGCTAGTTACTTATAATACATGTTCAATAAGGAAGCGTGCAACCGCTTTCATAGGGAACTATATGCCTCCCATGGTTTTATATTAAAATAACAAAACAAAGGTCATTCCTGATTATCGCGCTACAATCATTAGTTTTCTATCCACCTGACATTCCATATGGTGGCTTTGCAAGTTATAATGCCCCCCCCCAATCTTTATTGTCTCTACTGTGTCATCCCACCAGGCCTTGGCCAGCCCTGTAGTAACCCAGAGTCCTTACAGAAGCAGGGATGAGAGAGGAACAGTGCGTAAGACACCAGACTGAGTGCTGTGGCAGACAGGAAGGGGCCTCTGGCTTCCCTGTCCTCAAGGGGCAAAGAACTACACGCATTAGAAAACAAGGCTTGCAAAATGAATGGCACGGAAAGAAGGCAACACCGGGTGTATGTGTGAGCAACTTGAAAATCGCTGAAAAGGCTTTGAGCTTTTTCTTGCACTAAACCATCACCCTTTTCATTAGCAGCCCAAAGCTCAAGCCACTGCACCCCCAGGGCTCCTTTGCCTCGCACTACCAAAACCAAACTCACTGCTATTGAGTCAATGCCGACTCACAGAGACCCCCCTCCAGAGCGACACTCCTTGTGGGTTTCTGAGAATGTAACTTTATCAGAGCAGAAAGCCCAGTCTTTCTCCCTCAGAGCTGCTGGTGGTTTTAAACTGCCAGCCATGTGGGTCACAGCCCACTGCATAACTACTGCACCACCAAGGCTAACTAAGGACCGTATGCACCTGTTCTGACTGACCTACAAATTCTCAGTAAGGTATGGATCTCATTCGTACTCCAGGAACTAGATGTACTAAGCGTTGTCACTGAACTATCCATGCAGAAATTATTGAATGGGTGTCGGTTTTGTTCTCTATAGTTCATCAATAATTTGTGGGTTAAGCATTTGGATTATTAACCAAAAGGAGGGTGGTTTGAATGTACCAACTGCTCTATAGGTGAAAGTCTGCTTCCATGTAGATTTATAGCTTTGGAAAGACCTATGGGGTTCTACTCTGCCCTATAGGGCATGAATGAGACATGATCAACTTGACTACAGTGGATTATATTAGTCTAGTTAATACTGACTAATGGAGCCCTGCTTTTGTAGTAGGTACATGCTGGGCTGTGATCCACATGGTCAGCAGTTCAAAAACACCAGTTTAAAGACTGGGCTTTCTACTGTAAACAGTAACAGTTTGGAAAACTCACAGGGGCTCACAATGAGTCAGCACCGACTTGATAGCAGTGAGTTGAGAGTTAATACTGCAATAAATTCCTTTAAATACAAATGCAAACTAATACAGATTTCAATTTAGATGTA